TATTATCAAAAAATTTTATTTTGCGCAAGATATCGCAACAAAAGACGTATCAAAATCTATACGCTGTGAGATAAAATATGTGATAAATAACGGAAAATCACACATATTTAAATTATCTTAATTGCTATTAAAAAGATTAAAATAATTGAAATAAAAGATATCTAAGTGTATAATATATTGATGTCAAATATTCCGATTCAAACTATCTGTTAATTCGTGAGCATTTCGCTCGAATATCACCGATTCATCTAATTGATAAAATAAAGTTTGACATACACTTGAGAGTTTCATTTTCTGAGAATATCTCTCCGTCATCGGTAGCAGGATTTTCAAACGTACATTCAATCTAAGAAGAGCAAAATGTACGAACCTCTTTCCTCGATATCCTCCGCTCCTTCGGCATACATCAGCATAAAGAGCAGGTAAATTCCGAGAATCTTGGCCGGCGCCATCCTGAGTCCTCGTGATCCAGAGATGTCGAGGAAACTCCAGGCACTCTCACAACAATCGGCGACGCATATCCACTGCACCACCACTGCACATTCGCCACCGTCGACCGCGCGAACCCTTTAAACTCCGCGTCTTCTCGACGACGATACACGTTAATTTCACATTTAGCGATCGCGACACAACAACAGTTTCGCACTTGAAGTGGCGACGCAAAATCACGCGTTTTACGGTGTTTTCAAATTTACGTTTCGCGCCCGGAATAATCAAAGTTTCAAATTCGTTTCACGATCGAGACATCGCGCTCAATCATTCGTATGGATCCTGGATATGTGGTAAAATGCTTCTTAATTTTTTCTCCCAAGCTTCTTTGTGATATTTCAAAGCACATGCGATATCAACACACGTGGTGTTTGTTTTGAAGGTGGTTCAACCTTTCCCGGTGAGATGAGCGACGATAATGACTGTCGCGGAGCACTGTGTTCCGAAAGCGCGAACACACTCGCGCGATTGTAACAAAGGGCGCGTGATCAATGTTTCTGGCGACGTAAGGGATTTACACGTATCGGAGTTACGCGAGGAATTTTTCTCGACCGTCCTCTCCCGAGTGTTTACAACGTGCGCGCGGACCTACTCCCACGCCGGTCGCGTCAAGAATACGCGCGCCCGATCTAAGATGACCCGCGTGCCACTAGTTGGCGCGGCGCTCACGTAGACTCACGAACTCGGCCGAAGATTGCCGAACGGCCGCGCGGCCCGCACTCGACATCGGTGTTGTTTGTAAACAACGGATCTCGGTACGCCTGGTAAAGTTTTATTATTGTCGCGAATAATTGATGAGCAGATTCTTCCCCAACAGTGAGAAATGAGACAAAAAATAACAACCGACAAGTAAATAATTTTACAGAATTTCAACGAAAGTCTTTTGCAGCGAGTTCGTGCGATCGATATGTACCGTAGCTGAATCTAACAACGGATGGTTACTCCGAATACAAATGCATGTGCTGCTGATTAGGATGCGAATTGAATTTTACAAAATGCGTTATCAGAATGTCTTGCGTAGATTCGAGAGATAAATATAAAAATAATTTGATATAAATGTCAATGCATGAGAATAATAGACTTGAAAAAATATAAATTTTGGATTACTATTCTTCACGAATTTTTTATATATAAATCGATTAATTTTAGATTTAAAAATACTCTATCATTAATTTTTTAATAGTTTTTTTGGATATGTTTAAATAATCTTAAATGTTTATTTAGATATTTAGAAAAATAATAACTTATAAATTTTGTTTTCTTTTTATAGTAAAGATGCAAGAGAATCTGGGCACGGTGCGAATGTGCAGTGATAGTTTAGTGAACATTGTTGGTTATTGTGAAGGTATCTGCAGTTTCCTCGACTTCTCTAAATCACCAGGATTCCGGATGATGCTGGTTAAGATTTTCAAAATTTTTGTATTTTTTATGATAATGTACACCGATCGAGCGGACATCATTCTAGAAAGAGGTTCGTATATTCTGCTTTAATGAAATGTCCTGGAATAAAAAGTAATATTTATCTCAAATATAAAATATTTAAGATAAATACACTATACAATTTTCAGTAGAATTTTTATAATTTTACAATTTTTGCAATACTTTTTTATATTGATCAGCAAATATATAAACGTTGCTAAAAGTTGACAATTAATGTAATATATATGCGCGACGAAAAGAGTTAAAAAAAGTATACGGAAAATATTTTTCTCCCGAAGAAGAGAGAGAACGGATGTGCGTGTACAGCCCTGTCGATTCCACGAATACGTTAGTCGTTTTATCGTTGCAAAAATTGTCGAGAAGACTGGTTTCTTGTCGCCAATGCACGCACGTACAATGTATATACGTGCGATCGCGTCCCGAAGAAATCCGTAAAAGAGAAACAGTAAACGAGGAGTAAACTATATAAATGTCATGCTGTATTTTCTTTTTTATTTGCAAAAGCTTCTCATTGCAATTTTTTTCTTATTTTTTAATTCTTTTTTTCTCTCTTATATGTATATCTCTCCTATTATTTATATTAAAAGCATTTGTCATCTAATAAAATAATTATAATTGTGCTTGGATATTGCATTTAATAATGTCCAATTTATTAAATTATTTATGCAGTTTTTTGGAATATTTATGGTATCAATCTTGTCACATAATGTGATGTAGTTGCTTTCACACGCAATTAAATCAATAAAATATTGATATTTTTTTTAGAATTTATCTATTATGTCAGAATAAATCAAAGTATTTTACCATACAATCTTTTTTATATAATTTGTTATTTATTATTATTTTATAAAGCAATAGTTTTTTTCTAGAAAAAAAGTACTGTGCTTTAAACGCTTTATAAATCATTATAAATCTGCAAAGTTTTCTCGATAGAAAATGATTCGCTATACACTATTATAATCTGTTAAAGCAAACAAGCAGATTTATTACATTGCATTATCGTGCAGTATAATTGAAATTTAAGTCACACATGTATTTCTAATCTATTATTATATATATTATCTATTAGAGCCTTTTATTTTTATTGTCTAAATCTATCGAGATTTCTGTTTTCAAGGTAAAGTAATTAAGTAGATAAATGAAGCGTTTCATACACACATGCCTATCTTCTTTCGTCATTTAAATGATTGATTAATTGGCTTTGTTCAGAATTGCGCGTCATCGATTAAAACAATGTTGCGTCTACATCGCGAATATCACATTATTGATGAAAAGAGCATCTGATTTGTTAATAAGTGAATCAAACTGTCACACTATTCCAAGATTTTAATGATGTTATCGCAGCAGCAAGGATATTTTAATTAAAATGTTTTTCTCCGATTTCTAATGAAACACCGTTTAACATGCGTTCCTAGAGTTAATAACGGTCTTCATAAAAATGCAGATGACTTCATCGTACGTTTGCCGTTCACACTTTTCTTCCTCCCTTTTCGAATCGTTATTCTCCCCGAAGCAACGGTTCCCAAGCGGGATCCGGAAGGCAGGACCAGCATTTTTCTCTCTTTTTGTCGGTCTCGGCTTTTTTTTCCACTCATGTAAGAGAAGCAAATGTGTGAATTTCGTAATGAATCTTACATTTAAAGATAACAGACATGCCTAACTAATTTGCTATAGATTGTTAAGATATTTTGCATTTTAATAAATATCCAAACAAAATATAATACTTTTCTCATTACTTTTTACAGAGTATATAATGTTTTTTGCATCATGGAATAATTAAAATCGGTAAAGAGTTTTAAAAAGAATATAACAATTATATATATCAGGTCTACCGGAAAGTTCTGTCCGTTTTTGGAATAAAACAAAATACAAATTTTTATTACCGTCAATAAACTTTATTAAATAATGTAATTGCCATTATTATTAATGATTTCTTGCCAGCGTGAGGGCAATTTGTATATCCCATTTTCGAAAAATGTTTTATCTTTTGATGCGAAAAATTGAACCAGTGCTTGTTTGATATCTTCTTCATTTTTGAATTTTTTGCCCCTCAAAAAATTTTGTAAGGACAAAAACAAGTGATAGTCGGTGGGTGCTAAGTCCGGGGAATATGGTGGATGCGACAGAATTTTCCAGCCTAGTTCTGCAATTTTTTGACGAGTATCCAAAGCAGCATGTGGCCTGGCATTATCATGATGCAGTATGATGTTCTTCCTATTGGACATCGCCGGCCTCTTTTCTTGGACTGCTGTATTTAAATTATCCAGTTGCTGACAATACTTCTCCGAATAATGGCAATTACATTATTTAATAAAGTTTATTGACGGTAATAAAAATTTGTATTTTGTTTTATTCCAAAAACGGACAGAACTTTCCGGTAGACCTAATATATATAATTAATTTTTGTTCAAAATATTTTGTATGTTAGTGGATTTTTTCGGCGTGACAAGATATCCGTTATGATCATGCATGTTTATGTATTTACTTTTTATTATGATATCTGCCGAGGACGGATATCGATCGGTTGTATTTTGCTGTTTATTGTTTATAAACAGCAGCCGCGCGATGCTCGACACATACAGATGGCTAGATCCGAGTGCGAATAAAAACAGTATATAATAAAAATGATTTCTTAGTATAATCCTCTCTCTTCCTCGTATCCCTCTCACATGTGTATAATTTAAAAGTGAGCTTACATTTTTAATTAATTTTCGCAATTACTTAATTTTTATCTTATTTTACTTATATTCTACTTTTTTCTAATATTTATATATTAAATTTTTTATTTCAATATTGATTTAAAATAAATTCGAAATAAATAAATTAATTTAAAATAATCTAAAAATTCAAGATGTGTGTATGGAATTTCAAAGCTTTATAATATTGAAATAAATATTTAGCACGCGTTGTTTGATTACTATAAATTTTGAAAAGTATAAAAAGATGTATCACAAATTTGACATCATAATTTTTCATTGATTAAAAAAATGTAAGATACTTTATGCATTTGATAATTCTTATTATTTATATAAAATGCTTTTTATCGAGGTAGGTGGAATAAAAGGAAAGAAGTTGTTAAACAATTTTATTATTTTTTCTTTTCGTTTATTATAAATAACAAGATGCATATTCGGTGCGCACGTGTCTCATTTAACTTTTGTATAATATATTTATATATATTTATATGTTAATCAAGCTCCAGAACTAATTTTATTTCGCTTACTGTATTATGTCTTATTTATGCTGAGTGAGATTAATACACCTCGCTACAATCTGTTGCGCGATACCGCGTGGAAAATTAGAAATTTCATTCGAGAATGAACTTTGCGCGTTATGCGGCGAAGGAAAACCGTGTTACCTTCGCGCGAGGTAGAAATGGATGTTGAAAATCTATCTGCTCTCTCGATCATGCTGGATATTTTTTTTTGTCGTTGATGCGCCAATTAAAATGCAGATACAAATCCGAATAGATCTTTTCGTCGTTAAAAAATTGTTTAAAAATTTACCGTATTGATATGCGCGTGTCTCACGAGTAATTTCGACAAATACGAGGATTAAAATCGTAAATTAGGGTCGATCAGTTGACGAACAATTTGATGATATTGCTTATTGCGGACTCGGCCGATATGTCTAATTAAATTCAACAATACAGTCGATGTACAGAGATTCAACAAATTCGTTGTCTTGAGCATCGAGATAATTCGTGCCACGTGTCCGTAGGGAAATTTCTCTATGTGGAAATGAAGGGATTAACGGCGGAGTGTTCTTTAAAGCTACATTATATATCCATATAGCAACCGCATTAGCAACGTTTAATGCGTGCGTTCCCTCAATTATCTTATATCGAGCTCCGCAATTCTAATCCTATGCTCTCGACTATCATTGCCTCAATTTGCAATCTAAATAACGCGACGTGTGTGTATGTGTGTGTAGATATATATAATTCCTATTATATATTTTTATAAATTCTCTTTTATATGAAACGATTAGATCTTCTGCCCCTCGAGATGTTCGCTGATTTGACTTCCTTCGTCGTTCTCGCGCATTTTTTTTTATCGTATTATATATTACTTGCCGCAAAATAAGAAAAAGGATTTGTAACTCGCTGTTTCATAGAGAATCTGTTTGACGTAATGTTGTATATAAAAACAGATTTAATTTAACATTATTTTATCATCAAATTTCTGATTATTTATTTTCCTTTCTCGATTAAAAATATACTTGATAGAGTTTGTTGATTATTCTTAATTAAATTAATCATTAAAGAGTTGAGTTAAAAAAAGATCTGATGATGCCGATTTTCGCATCGTGAACGCGATGCTTTGAGAAAAGACGCGCGAAAAGTAGAGAATTTTGGGAGATGCGTTAGAATCATATATATAGAAAATTAAATACGATCAAATTTTCGAAAATTGCGTACGGCATCTTATAGCAGGCACGTCTTAATATATCACGCTACAGGCTTAAGTAAGCTCGATAAAGATACCGAGCTTGACGCTTTCTTACTTCTTATTACAATTAATTACGTATTTCCCTCTCTTTTTACGCCACTTTTAAATATATGCATTCATACATATGCGTTCTCTCTTCCTCATATAGGCAGTCTCTTTTTTTATTATAAAAAAAAAAATGCAAACGGTGCGTAAACGCAAATAAAAGAACAATATCTCATCCAGTTTAAGAAGACAGGGATTGTGTAAATTTATCTGATATACATGTATATGTATATTTTTTTTAAAGATAATATCCGCAGTAGAGAAATTGAATCTCATATGACAAAGCTGCCATATTTTATTGAAAGATTGCTGAAAGTCGACTTTTTAATTTAAACTCCATCGATTTCTGTATATTGTATATATTAAATTCAGAAAAGGGAGAACATATAAGCAATTTTATCGAGAATATCTGACCTGTCTTGTAATACCAATCCCATAATCGATTATATTGATTCTGTATATTTATTATCCATTTGAGAGAGAGAGATCCTTGTTATATTTCAAAATTTTAAATAATCGTGATTAAATTTATTTGTGTATAAAATAACGAAATAATATTGTAATTATAAATTTCAAGATTGGTTGATTCTTTATGATTACGAATCATATTGAGTAGAAAAAGCGTATAAGCTACTTAAATGTTTTTCTCAAAATATAACAAAAAGTAGTTTTATCTTTACTTTTACATATTATAAGCAAACAAGACTATGTTTCGCGAATTGGCTTTTAATATATGCAGAGTAGATTTGTATTTCTATTAATTTAATCCGCAATATGCGGATATTCTGTAACATTACATACTGCGCAGCAGGTATAGACGGAATTTATTCGACGTTATTTCATTAAGAAGCTATCCGCAACTTGTTAAAAAAAGTTGCTGCCAGTTTGTTACACTTAATATGATTTTCTCTTGTCATAAACATGAAAAGCGAAAGTGCACATTTCTCTATAATGTCTTGCTGTCACACATGTTCGATATTTTGTGACGTTTTTTAATACTTTTTCGATATTTATTCAGAATTTACGTAGTAAATCGTTTTCTTCAAAATTATAATGCTTATATGCGAGTTTTTTTTCGCATCTTAGATCAAGAAAAAGATCTCATTTTTTAATGCTTCTAATAAACTTTTTGTCGCTGTATTTAGTTATGTATTCAATTTACGTTTTTGGAAAGTTGTAATCGCGATTCTGTTTGTGTTAACGTATACTCATGTATATAGAAATATATTTCGAAATGTTGAACAATTTTTAAAATTTGGGCAATAGTATTAAAATATTAAAATATTTATAGAGAAGAAGGAAAAAATGTTCTTTAAAACTTTTAAAAATATCTTCTCGTCATTTGAGGAAGAAACTGGACGGATCAGTTACGTCAAAAATTAATAAATCTAATACATCTCGAGATTCATGAATTTGACACAAAAATTTATGAAAATAAAAATTTTAATTTTACAGGACAAATTTTTACTTAAACTTACAAATTAATTATTAATTTTATATTTAAAAATGCTTAAAGTATGTTATACGCAATGTCAGATTCATGATTCTCGAAATGTATTAGGATTGTTAACTTTTGATGTAGTTGATCCGTTTAATTTCTCTTTAAAAAAACATTGAAATAAACAATTAATTATGAATCCGTTAAAACAATTACAAAACATAATTTTACATGACAAAAAGTGAACGATGCTGTAAGAAGTTGCTCTGCAGCGTTCATTAAATTAAAAAAAAAAAAATAATAAAATTCAACGTATGTCTAATCGTACAACCTCGAAATAACATTATTTTCTTATTTATCCTTAATAAATCGATACTCTTAGCAACATCGCACAAATATAATATTGATAAAACATCTGAATGTCTCTTAAATATAGTAAATCCCTTTGTTAAAGCTTTTAACTTATAATTATTTAGAATTAAACATTTATTACGAATGCGTATGATCGATCTAGCGCAAATCGCGATTAAAATAAATGTCGTGCCGACGTAAGCTCCGAAAAAAGAAATCAACGATTAGTACCGCGAAGGATCGTTGCCCGACGAAACCTTTCTAAGTTGTCGATATCAATCGAGTTGCATTATCCTCTGATTATTTACGTAACGAAAATCATGATAATGATGAAATTCAGCGATTAACATTTAACAGACGACTGCCTCCGATATCGGATTCTCCGTGATGTGTATGGTCGCGGTAGGCCAGTCGATCTTCTTGCTGCAAATGTGATTCAATCCTTCTAACGAAGCCAGTCGGTAATCGGCCATTTTTAACGGCGACAGCGGGGCCACTGTAAAAGAAAATAAGAGAAAGATAATATCCTCGACTTTGTATTGTCATTATTAATTTCGCCTTGAAGAGGTTGTAACGCGCATATAATTCCGTTCGTTCGCTCAAATTTTGTCACATAGAAAATCGCCGAACGAAGGATATAAATAAAAGGAAGCGTACATGCAAAATAAAAAAGGAAAATCAGATGTACTGTTGGTAGACTGTTGTGTGCGCATAGCGAGACGTTGTGAATTGGCATGAATTGTTTACTATTCTATATTGCCCAGGTGCGAGATTGCTTCGTTTTGCCTTTCGGTTGTTTTAGAAAAACAAATTTACAAAAAAAAAAGCTCTAATATGAATGTGTGCTGTTGTAATAAATGAGTTGGTCTCTTCTTCTTTTTCTTTATTTATGTAAAGTGAATACTTTAATTTGGATCACCTGTATCACAGAATGTAGCGCAACAGGTAGGTCCCTGTTAATATTGTAAATCGTATAGTACGTTGCTACCGACTATCGAGGACTATAAAAACAGAAGAACTCAGTTGATAAGACCGATTCAGTATAAATTATTTCACCGGGCATTGAAAATATTCTTTGTGCATTTAAATCTTTTCGTCTGAAATTATTTTTAAATCATTTAAAAAACGTATGTAAATGTTTACATAAAACAAAATAAGTACAAAAAGTCGTATAGAGATGCGAAATAAGTATAGGAATAAAATAACATATATATATCAATATATACGCAAAAATTTAACAAGGCGATTGTTATAATTCTCTTCATTCTTGTCATTGCCAACATCGGCAAGATCAGTGAAATGTTAGGAGAATTATTAAAGTGGTTATAGTTGAAGTTAGTCTTTCTCGGCGCGCGCGCGCGAGAATCTCCGGGGTACGAGGTAGCCCAGGATGTATCATTTTCTCAGTTAGTATCTCTCATACCTTCCGAAAAAAGTTTAAATTCCGACTTACTTAACATATAGACGTGGCCTAATTGACCAACTGCGCGCTCGACTCTCCTTGCGGCCTTCAATTCCTAATTACAATTACCTTCGGGTGTTGTCGGCTTCACGGGCTTCCGCGGGGATCTCACCACTAAAACGTATAAAGAAAACAAATTCTCTTTAAAAATTGTGAACGACGTTGAGTTGTAACATCGTTACATGGCGCACTGAATTCGTAATCGCTACTTTTAAAGCATTTTTTGTGCGCAACATTGATAGACCATTTGTTTTTTAATAAAATGACGAGTGGAATACAGCAAAAAATAACAGTGCAACAATCAATTTACTTAAAATATTGCTGCAAAACTATGTTTGTTGTAAAATGCAAAAATTAATTTATAATGTTTATTGTCTCTCGACTCAGATTTAAATATTGATGTCGAATAAAATTGACGATTATAATTTTCGTAATTCGCAAATAATTCAACTAACAAATAAATTTATTTTCTCGCTTTAATCAATTTTTGAGAAGCATTTAATAGCCTAAACAATTTTATATTTTTGTTATCTTGTAAATGGTTTCTAATTTTATATAATTTTAGATTAAAAATATTTGCTAGTACATAAAATAAATCTGAGTCGTTTTTAGATAATAACTAAATCAAATGAAGAATGCTTATTAATTTTAATTATTAATGCGATTTCATCTTATTCTATAAGCGTATTCCTTAAACGGAGACCTTAGCATTTAAAATTATCCGAAAAAAAAACAAAAAAAGGAAATAACAAATAAGCCGAAACTAATCACGCTACTATTCAGCGAGAGAAATTGTTGTAATATATACATACCACTCGATCGATCCGAGACGCGTGGGAAATAAAGGCGCAAGTCGATGAACATGTATAATACTTTTTCTTTCTTTCTTATTTTGCCTTATTTCTTTTTTTCTAATAGTTTAAGAGTATGTTAGCGAAATTCAGAGACGAATTTAGTGCAACTCTTTTTTATTTTTTATTTATCAAGTCGAGCCAGTGGCTTTTCAACGAATAGAGGTACATGTTCGAACACGTATTTGAACCTCGGTGTAATCAGGTAGCTTCCACTATTCGTTTTTTAGCACGGAGATAAAGCGGTTTATTTATCAAGTTTATCATGGATTAGTAGTTTGATAATTGAGAACACACAGTATCTCAAGACCCTGTTACACCACAATTCAATTACGTAAATATTACGCCACTTGTACAACATGGAAATTCTACTTGTATAATAGCGACGATTTGCAATAACAATAGTTAACAATGATGACGATGATAGAAACAACAGATTTGTTCAACGCGACAACTTGAATTATTCATTTGTAATTATTCGCCATATAAATTACTTTAACTTTGTACTGATCACAGTTAAAGAAACTTAAAAGCAAAGATATGACATAGAATTAATTGCAAAATTATATAACCAGATCTTAAAATACATATTTTATCTGTATCGAGTTGTGAGAAAGCAGTGTTCTGTGATTGGTTCTATAGTGTTTTTGTGATTAAAAAGCTAAACGAAATGATAGACCTGATTCAATCGAAAAGAACATTATTTAATCGTTAAATTACGAAAATATATAAATTACGTAAGTATACGATTTTTATATTTATATAAATATATAAGCACAGTATATATTATGTGTATTCTATAGCAGAAGGTACTTTCTATAACTTAACACATGTGTGTGCAATATTGTTATAAAAAAACTTGAAATCTGAAAATTCTAAAACGTTTATTTAACAGCAACTATTTTATAAAGTTTCGATTTAAAATGTTTACTCGAAAAAAACATGCATTTAGATATTATGCAAATGCACAAAAAAAATTAATTTTTCCTAGTATTTTTAAAAATTAAATTATTCAAACAATTTAATTAATTTATAAACATAATTTTATTGTTTGAATTTGATATTCAAATAAAACCAGATCATAATTTATAATATGTTATCAATAGGAATATCTGACATTTAGATTATTCATACAGTATCTATTATTGAAAGAAAGTGTAGTCGGCCCAAGAGCACACCTATCTAAAGAATATTTTAGTATATAAAGTATTTGCAATATAGGCCAAATTTCTTTAATGGATAGTGACAGAATGCAGCAGTCGATAGGAGTGAACTTAATGTTCGAAATGATCGCACAATCAAAATTTCTCATTTTTCCATTTCGACATTTAGTTATGCGAAAGATGACGTGACCACCTGCAAAGCCTTGAAAGTTTGTCCTTTTTTCGAGCATTATTATTTACAATCATTTGTCAACAAATTGGCCGCAATTCCTTTTTTTTTTCTGTCCCATATTACGTCTATATCTCATTGATTACGCAAAAATATACTTTCTATATTCATTTCTACTGAAATATCTTGCGTCATTTACTGACACAAATATTGTAGCTGGTTGGCAGTAATTACCGACGCGTTTCACACTTCCGCTTGCAAGCGATCACGAGATATTTTCTTATGAAACTCGACGACGCGTGCGCGAATTGTTTATATCAATAAAGATCAATGGAAATTGTCGATTGCTAGTTTGATGATTAATTTCGAAAATGTAGTTCGCGCGAAAACGCTCACTTACCATATCCTTCGCCCTGAAGAAACAGTCGGAATGCCTCGCTGACTTTACCCGGCTGTTCTTCCAGTACCATACCGCAATCTGATATCTAAAAGACATGATATAATCTATTACTTGTCATTCGCAAAATGAATAAAGATTAATCTGAGTTGCAAAAGTCTCTTTTGTTATTAAATTCTGGAGTTCATCATTCATAATTATACGACGTACTTGTGGAATTCATTCAAATTTAATAAAAGTCGTTTATCGCGTGTTAGACAATAATTACACAAATGCTTACATGCCCCTCGCGTATACTAAACATTTACTTATCACAAATCTCGCTTTTGTGTATTAGATGATTTAATCTATAAAATACACATATCTCTTTTCATGCGTTTAATGACACATTGCTTAATGAAAAAGCTTACCTTCATCCAGGAGCTATTTGTTGGATCCAAACGCCCATTTAACGTTACGGTGTCGTCGACGTGAGGGCTTAGAGCACCCGTGATATTCATCACCGGTACACTAAGCGTCAATCCCTCCTTCTTGCGCGTTGGATCTAACTCTCTCGTTATATTCAGATCCGTGCGACGAACGTAACTGTCGATAAATAATGCGAGATTCGTTGGGTTCACGCGACGCTCAAAGTAGTTCTTATACACTTGAACCAAATCATGATTCCGCTCTTCGGTCCCCTGTAAAATTATATCGGTTTTAATATATTGCAGATTTTTCAAAGTAATGTTATTTAATCTATAATATGACTAGCATTAAAAATTTGATTTTTATCATTATTATGATTTATGTGTAGTTATATGTCACACAAAAAATAAATTCAAGTTATAATATTCTTGAATTCATATCATATATATTATCTTTCTGTAAGATATATTACAACTATAAAAATAATCGATACGTAAAGAAATTCATTTTTGTAAAAGTTTCTTTCCTCTTAAATCACAAACAAATTATTACAAATAATTATCTGTTTAATTACAGTAAGAAAATTGTTTATAAATACCAATTCGTCTTTTAAAAACTTGGTTTCTCTCGTATATTTTAAGTTTATTGTCATTTGAATTTTTTACTGATTTTATATAGACGGTTAATTGCTTGTATGTGGACAGCAAAAATCCGAGATATTTTTGCTCTATAAAATAAACCGCATTGATATTACACGTGGCGCAAATTTGTTGATAATATATGAAATCATTATTATGACATAGGTATAATGACATAGGTGAAATTTTTTTATCATAATGTCATCAGCCGACATTACATTAATTTTGCGATTGCACGCGAGTTTGTAATCAAAGTAACCCATCTTTTTACATGCCATATTACATCTGCTGACCAAAGGATTTCGAAGTCTCAGTGGATCGAAAAATGCATTGTGCACTCACGATCCGGTTTTTTCGCGAAGCAGTACAGTGTGGTAAAAACAACCGACAAAACCTATCATTAGTGTCGGATGGGAGGGAAAGCAATGGAACAAAATGATAGGGCAAAGCCAGGAAGGAGCGCGACGTCCAGCCAGCTTTGTTTGAAAATTATGTTTTCTTGTGCCTTCGAATAATGTTGGCCAAGTTTCATAACGTTTCGACCCGCTAATGTAAAATCACTTTATTAACCTTCCAAGTTTAAATCTCATGCATTACGCGCTGGAAGCCGTTTTTTATTTTTCTTATAATAATGTGTTAAAAATATGACATGTTTATAGTGAAATAATTGACTTATGTAAAATGATGTAGACATAATTATTATCCGAGTTACATAAAAAGTGCATTTCTTTCTCGCAAATTAGTTAATAATATTATCAAAAAACTTGTATTTTATATTATTTTAATTTTTATTTAATCATTATCTTTTTATTCTTAATTATTGAAAAATTTAAGCATAATTAAGAAACACATTCTGCTGGTTACATATGCTGTAAACGTATTTCTTGCAAAAAAGTCAATATATTTTATTATTTTTATATTTGCTTCTTCAAAGGTTGGAGGTCGTCTATGAACGTAATAATCTTCTCACGTTGTATAATAGTGATAGCAAAACTGTCAGTTTAATCTCTAGTTTCCATGGAGATCGAGCCTTTGGAAGCTTAAGCTTCGTCGTCGATAATTCATCTTGCGCTCGCGCTTGAACGCTAACTGAGTTGACATTATTTTGCGCCTCATAAGAACCTGGCGGTTTATTAGTTCCATAGAGTATAATCTTGCCCGGAACACAATTAACTCTTATAAAAGAGGTTGGAAGAGAGTTTATATGAAAGATGTTTATATTATCCGCGTAATCAAATATTAATTAAAGCTGAATATTTAATGTGACAAAATATTTTATAATGATATAAATGTGTAGTACAAATTAAATTTAAAAAAAAATTTATATATATAACAATTTTAAAAAATGTGTAACAATTTTTACTCATTGTTTTATATTAGACATATACAAATATAGTGAGAACCGCGATTACAAATTTATAAGTGATTGTCAATATTAACAGTATGTTGCTGTTTAAATTTACGATAAATCAATTTATTAAAAACTTACTTGCTTTGATAGATTTAACATTAACTTTATATGAAATTATTTTAACATTATAAAATTATAATTTTAGTAAATCTTTCATAATCGTATTGTTACAATTGTTATATTGCTTACTACTAAACCGTAATCTAGAATCGTTGCAAATTTAAGTTTAAAATATCATATTCTTACCCTGCCGAAATGATGCCACATCAGATAATCGAGAACACCTTGCGTCATGCCCTGCGATCTCAAGTGGCGCACGTTCAATTTTTGATAACCCCATTCGATCCATCCTGCCTGTGTGGATACGCAGTTTATCAGGCACAGTGCATTTACTTTCTCCGGATGGGCGAGTGCAAATCTTGCCAGAATATTGGCGCCGGCACCGACCCCGAAACCAATTACGGATTTTATGCCAAAATGGCCGAGAATGAAGAGCAGCTGTTCGGCAAGCTCTTCCATGGACGGATAAGTGTAACTGAAATGTATATAAAGAATTCTGTTTTCAGAAATTATTCACGATGTTTCACTTTGATAATGATTATATAACGCCTAAACAGAGTATGCGAAATAACTATTTAAATTGCAAATTTAACTTTCGCGAAAAGACGTGGTTGAAAATATTGAATAAATTAATGAATATTGACAAATCTTTACGCTATTTAAATATACTTCCTTCGTTATATTTGTTGCTCGTTAGGAGTTATAAATAAACCAAGAATTAAAACTCCTAAATCTATTAATGTTTCTGTAAATGTGCAGACATTATAAAAATACATATTTTTATTATAACATTGCGTTCACGAAAATTACTGCCATCAACATAATATCATGATAAATTACATTAAATGGAATTTCAAACAATAAATATTTAAACAATTCTTAAAAAATATTTATCATGTAATATAGATTTTACGTTATTGATAATATGTATTTTTGCAAATCCAGCGAATAATGTAAATTCAGCCGTGATACTTATCATAACGATATATAAATAAAAATTGATTAATAATGTTATAATATTATATTAATAATATAACATACATTATTAATCAATAATTGTTGTTTTTTTGAGACAAATCAATGTTATATAAACAAATAGAATATATCGATATATAAAGCTGATACATCCTTCAAAGAGATTTGGCACGCAAACAAAACCAATAGATAAAACTTTCGCATGCAAATCTGCATTGCGGTTTAAATTATTTTATAACTCAATGCTTAGTTAAGTGTATGTTTCTTTAGATATAAGCCTCGATTACTTAAGATCAATATAATCAACTGTATTCAAAAAAGATAATTTCTTAATCCAGTGATGTTAAGTTACCCACGGTCTACTTTTATAAATTATCATTTACTCCTAAAAGATATATATGTAACAATCGATAAGTTTAAACTCGTATAAATACAGAGTTATCGATATTACGATAAAGTATAAACATTTATATAATGAAAAAATATGTAAAATATTAGAACTACTTCTTTTTATCAAATTGTATATATTTGTGGAGTTCTAGTACGAGTAAACAAGCTGTCAATAGAATTGGACTGATGATGAGATTGATTGAGATATTAATTGCATCAATGATTTTTGTTAATTAAATTGACTCGTTAATTAAAACGACATGCGCGTATATCTATATTTAAAAGAGATCGAGGCTTAATTAGAGACATACAAATATGCATCGAAAGTTCCTTAATTATTAATTTAATTAAAACGTACTCTTTAATAAAGCAAAAAAAAATCCTTACTTTAATTGTTGTTTGACGAAAGCTAAGAATCTTTGTGTGTGTGTACGTGCATTTGCGTGTATAAGACTACCGATATCGCGGCGCAAATTGTACAAGTCTATTGTAGAATGCTTCGCTTTGAGAAATCGGTAAAGTAACTAATTTTTCTCGTGTTCATTATTTGAAAAATCAACTTACTCTTCGGGTAGCGTCGGCGCGCCTTCCTCTTGTCCGGGTGCGTTCACGTGATATACGCAAAAGTTTTCGAGTAAAACACGCATATCGATGTAATTGAAGAATGCCTGGAAGCTCGAAATGTCTGAAAAAATAATTTTCATATATTAAAAATATATTAAATACATATTAATATATTATACATATACTTTGGAGAGAGTATTGTAATAATAATAGTTAATTTAAAGAAATGTATTATAACTAGGATTAAAACATTGCATTGCTCATTATTATTTTAAACATTTTAATTATAAATTGCTCACAGTTAAGGCCTAGATCGTGATAAGTGAGGATAGCTGGTTTTGCTCGATTTCCTTGCACCGCTATCAGCAAACTTCCTTTGTCGGTCTCCACCCTTTCTTCCCGCACAGAGCCGTCATCTCTAGAGAGATATCTCAATGCCGGAAATTGCAATTGAATGTTCTTCAGCTCAATATCATCCATGCTATCGGAAGGCATCGTGCTGCGCATAAAAAGAAATCATTTAATTATTGGCATCGTGACCAAAAAGATGAAAAACGATCCGATATTTCTGACGTGAACTCCAATTGATGATGACTGGGACAATCTAAAATTTCCGAGGAAATTTGACGCTGGCAAGCTTTCTTTTTATATTATATAAAGATATAACTGACTAGTTAAATTTATATTATTATATACCTCATCTTTTCTTCTATTTTCAAGATGAATATCCTTGACTGTTGAAAAAACTAAATAATTCAGGCTCTACTTCTATATATAATATATATTAATATATATTAATAGATAAAATGTATATATATCTACTTACAAATGCAGCATTTTTAGATTCTATACCCGTTATAATAGCAGTTTTGTATCAAATAATTCTTGATTTGTTTTTTAAATAATGCGTGAAGTTTTTTTTCTGTTACATCGTTATCGCATGATACTATAATTTTAATACAATTATAGATCAGTACGTGAGTGTACTGCGACTCGTGTTGTATAGAAAATGTTTCTTTTCTACAGTTTTATTTACAAGAAGTTCATTAGTGAAAAATGTGCGCAGTAACATAATTACTGCTATAGACTCAAACGTGTGTAGCAATTTTTCCACAACTGTTTTTATCTTTTCAAATATGTGTAGATAGAAAATAATACTTTTTAATAATAAGTGAATATTTGAACTTTTACACTAAACAATAATTTCATCGAACTCTAACGCTCATTTTATATGTTTTCGAAACTTACATCTGGTTCCTAAACGATTTACGATGCAAAGCGAGCAGCTTGTAGCAGTTAGCACTCACCCAAGTTATTGCTAAGATTATTATTACCATTTTATATAATAGATCGCATACAGAATTATTTATTGATAAGTCAGCTTTCATTGTGTCATTCCAGAAAAAAATAATAGATAAAAACAAACAAATAGATAAAATAATAATGTTTTGTTGACTGCAGACTATTAAGTGTTCTTGACCAACGCGACCGCGTCTCCAATTTCGCCGATGAATAAGAATTACGAAGGTTAATTCAAGACGATATATTTGTTTTCGTGCCAATAATTGCGTTGCGTTGCAAAAAAAGCTGGAATGTGTCGCATGTTAACCTTGCTTCTCTTAATATAGTAATTATTTTAGCCTCAAAAAAAAATGTTTAAAAATCTTTTTCTGCAAACGCTTTTAAAATATTTTAATTAAGTTTTTTCTATTACATTTAATAATTATTTTTGTAATAAAATAACGTATAAAATTATATCACTTTTACGGAGCACGATTGGCAATATTACTTATTTATTCGGGAGAGTTAAATTAAAAAGTTGATCGTACAAAGTTTGCTAATTTTTTATTTTGCCATGATTGTCTGTTACAACTTGCGTTACGTCAAGACAGATACATTCTCTTGAATGAGCACGCGGTGTCTTCGTGGAATATTACGCAAAATTAGTTTCTTTATGCGAAACGTCAATCAAAATGTTAAACGTGACTTTTTTATCGATTTATGCGTCATATTCTCAGCAATCGAAATAAATTATTAAACAGACTCTTAAAATTCCTCTCGTCAGTCGTTTTCACATGCTTTAACTATGTGCGCAGATACTTATTACGTCAATTAACTTCGTTAGATATGAGTTAATTAAACTTCTGATACGGTAACTCGGAAAATTAGTGGAAGTGTGTTTGCTCGGCTGGCAAAACTAGTTAAAAAGCATATCCTTGGTTCAAGATTTAAACGCTACTTGAAGCTATCTCATCACTGTACATGCAATTTATTCATAAATTGGCAATAACAATGTTATGATGAAGCTTCAAAGTACAAGATTTATAACGTTTATCAAGTTACATAGCAATCCTGCACATTTGAATTTTGCAATAAAACGAAAGTTTTATCATTATATGTGTAATTAGTTATCAGCTATATTATTATAGATAGTTATTATATATATCAGTTAATCAATATATAAATTGTAATATTGAAATCTGAATGCCGAAATTTAGTCTATAGATACATTTGTTTTGTCTCAACTTACTTTATAGATCAAAGACAATAACTATATATATAATCTCAATGTAACAATTCTATATAATATATTTTAATAATAAAATTCATATAAAGTTTTCATATATCATAATGCTAGCTAACATTAACGACCGGGGCAAAACCTAAAACGCTGTGCAATAGTCAAGGAGATGTCAACGAGGACAGTTAATGGATCTCCTGATAATCTATTAATAGTTCTATATCAGTTTAAAGTACATACGAGTCAAATGCATTTAAAATCAGCCGAGGGTAAATAATATCCCCACGTTATTCTAAACGTATAATAGCAGTGGTAACTTTAATCGTCCACGGAGTTACATCGACGTTTAACTAGTTGTGAACTCGTTTAATGCTTAAAAGATCTACTTCGTCTTGTATCCCACAGGATTTACGACGTTAATCTAATTTTAGTAAAACAATAAAATGTCAAGAATCTTATTTGACTTCTTTGTACGCGCAAAAGATTCTTTGAGAGAAACGCCACCACCGTTTTGCAAGGAGTCACGCTTCTGTTCTTTGGGTTCATTAGTACTGTTATCCGAAATTCTTTTCATTCTATGTAATCAGAGCAAACGCGACAATACATATTACATCACACTCATCTGAAGATGAATATATAGAAGATGCGTTTGTAGATCATGCTCTCTTTCTTTCTTTTTCTCTTTCTCTTCTCTCTCTTTATGACGCGACCCGTTGCACAGCGTTCGTATTATTAAATTCCTTATCTATTAATCGCTGCCTGTGAGGCAGATTGCACGCATGTATTTTCGTATAATGGCACTTGAATTAATGCAGCGATTTCTTATCTTCCCAATCATTACTGCGTTGTGTGATTTATTATTATTCTCATGCGCTTGTATTTAATGACAAGATTTCCTTCAGTTTTATTATTTTTTAAGATTTATTTTTTATATGAAGTACACTATTTATATCGCTGGAATAGAAAAGTTTTAAAATAATTTTAATATATGTATAATAATATGTAATATAATTACAAAATTAAAATAGTCTATAATTTAGCAAATTATACACAATCCCTTCTCTCTTCACTTACATATGTTTATCATTATTTGTACCGTTGAAGAACGTGAAGAGATTGTGTTTTCCTTTCATTTTCCATCTCTATTCGTAATAAATGCTAGGTACAAAATGGCAATAGAGGAAAGCATTTGATTGTTTCTGCGAATAGGATGTAAAGTGATAGATACCATTTCCACGGATTTATAGCGCGTATCGTAGACGGCGTCGCAATGACTGGCGTCGACAATCAATAAACGGAAATGTAATGCCACAAATGCGCCATGAAATCAATTGAAAAACACTTTGGGGCTTTTGATTGATAGAGATCTCGAGAACTGATTATCAGTCATCGGAATAATGAACAATAATGCAGTGGTCTGGACAATATCGATTTTACCTAAACAAATCGCGTATATTTGTCCATGCCATCCGAAAATAGATAACACACTTAATGCATAATATGACTTTTAAAAATACTTGAAATGTAATAGAGATCTAAAAGATTATCACAATAATAGCGGAAATTAAACGCTTATATAAATATGTAAATTTTTTTTAAATATTCGGAAAGAGAGAAAAAAAGAGATGGCACAAATATCTACATTTTGTTTATTAGCTAATCAAATTTATTAATTTATAACACATAAATGATTGTAATCAAGATGAGAATGTCACGTGGAAGCACACATAACTAGTTTGTTACCATTAGGATAGATATTTTTCCATGCCCGCATGTATTAATTTTGCTCGAAAAATAATAATATTTTGGCCCCACTCAAGACCGAAATTTATCAATTTTAAAGAAAACGAAGAAGAAAACTTTGCTTAAAAGATATCGCAATCAAGATACCTCGTGATAATATTGCAATCATAGATCACAGTGTCATTTATGTGGACATAATAATTTCGCAAGAAGCACTATCTCGAATTCCTTCATTACCTCAAACTACTAAAACTCGAACTAGTAACTTTGACAAATAGGAATTAGAAATATTATTAACCGAGAGTGTTTGAATAGGGGACAAAAAATATGATGTAAAAGAATATGAAACGCCGAAATAGAGTTTAGAAATGCAATGTAGGTATAAGATCTAAACGGACGCGTACAAAATTTGTTTTAAATTATTATTTTTTCCAGCAGCTGTATTCGAAAATAAAAAAAAAATACATACCTTTCATTGTATCCTGTTAAGGATACAATGTAATTATTATATCTTCCGATACAACATGGCATGGATAGAACTAGTCCCATTGCGAAAAATTAAACGTATTTTCTTTTGTATTTCTAAAGATAAACTGTCACAATGAGACAAATTCATACATGTATTATCTAAAAGTCAAAAAGTTATCTTGCAAATAAAAATAAACCGTCTTATATCGTACTCTCGGAATCATATATTGATTCAATATGAACAAAATATTATAAACACACGATAGCGTTAAGTATACAAGAAAAGTAAATATAAATACTGGAAAAGATCAAAAGTTATGGGCAAAATTTGTACCATGATTTAAATAAATCAGCGAACTTTGTCATCTTCATCATTCTTTAAAAACTTAGTTCAAAACTTTGCAAAAGATAAATAGCAGGTATTATCATTGGACGAAATTTTATTGTGACGTTTTAGAACTGCAAAGAATAAAATTTTCTAGCTAAAAGCGAAATACCATGACATTTATGTAACTATTTTGGAGTAAAAGATCGATTATCCTTGGCACTTAATAGCGAAGAGAGTTGTAGAGTCTAAAGTTCGCGAAGCAAAAACTTATTTCGTAAATGTTTGTTTAAAATTGAAAATTTTTGATATTATATTTTTTATGTTATAAGAGCTGATATTTTATTAATGTAATGTAAATTTTTCACTATATAATATTTCTTTTATTTTTTTATACAATTAAACAAAAATTGTGTAATTAAATGTATGCATTATACACATA